CTTAAACAACATTTTGAAACCTTATGAAATGATTGTATAGACTTGATAAAAGATATAACATGTTGTTATGAAGTCTATAATCTAGAAATACAATATTTTTATAAAATTGCATATTCTATGCAATATATTCAAAACACTAAATATGATTTCATTAAATATAAGCTTGTTAAAGGTGAAATCATATATAGGCATATAAACATGAAACAAAATAGTATTTTCCAATTATTCATTTGTTTCATATATAAACTCGAAAATTATTAAACCAAAAGCATGTATGCATATATATGTATGTTACTGTATATATACAAAACCAAAGCCAAAGCGTGTATGTGTGTATAGGATTGAGCTTAAAGTACTAACACACATAATATAAAACCTAAACTAGATTACCCAAGCTAGATCTTGATCTTCAATAAGCTCTTCTAGATAATCTTGCGGATGAAGCTTTAACTTGGATCTTGAACTTTGAATAGCAAGGCTTCACCGACATTCCGCCAACCTCCTTTGGATATCATCATTGAAGCGCAATCCATCCATCCTCCAACTACGTTGTTTGTCTACAATACATAGGAATGCAAAAACACTAGACAAACAACATTAGTAGTAAATTGTTTGTAAATCATCATCAAAACAAGAAGGCCAACAATCTCCCCCTTTTTGATGATGACAAACAATTTACAAAAAGCCAAATGAACCATCCAAACCCACCCATTTAGTTAAATGGGCCATAAATGGGTGGGTATAGTTTCTATTAAAGATAAATGGGTCATTAATGGGTGGGTTATTACCCACCCATTTACCCGTTTAGATGGATATTGTTTTAAAAACACCCTCAACGCTTAAACAATTACAAAACTTATTTTCAAAAGTTAAAAATTATAGAAAACACATAAAATGACTAACAACCCTTTAAAATTTTAAGATTTGCAAAAAACACCCTCATAGTTTAAAATATTATAAAAACGCCCTCAAGAGTTAAAAATTATAAAAAAAAACTATCAAAATTTTCTAACCTCACAGATGACACATGAAATTCAAAAATTACCAACAGCCCCCTGAAATTTTATAATTTGCAAAAACACCCTTAAAAGTTGTAGAAAATGAGAAAAACACCCTCAAGACTTCAAAATTACTAAACAATCTTAGAGTTTTCTAAACTTGCAAATGACATATGAAATCTAAAAAATTTCAATAGTCACCTATAAATTTAAAATTTACAATTAACACCCTCAAAGTTTTAAATTTTTAGAAAAACACCCTGCATAGTTTAGAATTACAAAACCATCCTAAAATTTCAAAACCTACAAATGACACATGAAATCCAAAAATTACTAGCAACCCCCTGTAAATTTATAATTTATAAAAAGCACCCTTAAAGTTTAAAAATTGCAAAAAACACCCTCAATAATTCAAAACTACAAAACAATCTTAGAATTTTCTAAACTTGCAAATGACACATGAAATCTAAAAAATTTCGGTAGTCCCCTATAAATATCAAATTTGCAAGTAACACCCTCAAACTTTTAAAAATTATAAAAAACACCCTCAATGATATATAAATATAAAAAGTAGGCGCTCATAATTCTTCGTCGGCAGGAGATATATACGTATGCGGCCAAGTGTAATTTGTCACATGACCAAAGTAAGGGTTTTTTTTAAATAACCGAGTAGGTAGTAAACTAGACTTGTTACGAGTCCATCTCTTCTTTTGCTCAACCCCGTCATCATTTGCTTCTTTTCCTCACAATTCTGTCCTAATTTTCTGAAGTAGTCGATTCAATTGAGAAAGAAATATTTATAAAAAACCCCCTGAAAGTTTGTAGAAAATCTCCTAAAAGTTTGCAGAAAACCCCCTAAAGTTTACAGAAAACACCCTGAAAGTTTACAAAAAACCCCCTGAAAGTTTACATAAAACCCCTGAAAGTTTGTAGAAACCCTCCTAAAAGTTTGCAAAAAACCCCCTAAAAGTTTACTGAAATCCCCTAAAAGTTTGTAGAAAAACCCCTAAAAGTTTGCAGAAAACCCCCTAAAAGTTTGCAAAAAACCCCCTGAAAGTTTGCAGAAAAACCCCCTAAAAGTTTGCAAAAAACACCCTGAAAGTTTGCAGAAACCCCCCTGAAAGTTTGCAAAAACCCCTCTGAAAGTTTACAGAAAACCTCCTGAAAGTTTGCAGAAAACCCCCTGAAAGTTTACGGAAAACCCCCTGAAAGTTTACAGAAAACCCCTAAAAGTTTGCAGAAAACCCCCCTGAAAGTTTGCCAAAAACCCCTAAAAGTTTGCAAGTAGATCCCTGAAACTTACATATATATAGAAGCATCATAATCATAACTAAATGGGTTATTGGGTTACCCATGAACCACCCATTTAGTAAATGGGTGGATGAGAACCAACCCATTTAGCAAGTGCTAAATGGGTCATAAATGGTTAAGTGGTCATAAATGTGCCCACCCATTTATGACCCAACCAAAACCCAACCAAAACCATCCATTTGCCATCCCTACACTTAAATAACATTTGAGAAGTTGGAAGTTTGAATCTTGTTGTGGGCAAGCTTTGTGAACTTTTTTTATTTCTTTATGTAACTTTAAAGTTTTAGCTCTACTTAATTTTACGCACCCAAATGATTTTTCTTGCCTATAAACCCGAAGTTTTGCACCATTCATTTTTAACACAGTCATATCAATTATAGTGTTATTTATTATCTATAAACATAAAATTTGCCAATTTATTTTATGCTCTCCCAAAAATAAAGTTTTATTCCTATTTGTTTTTAAACAAACCCACTGCTAAAATAGGTAATTTCTCCATGAATCGAATTTTTATCTCTTTTTATTTTTAAACCCACCTACGTCCAACTTATATTAATTAAATGCTTCATAAAATTTTTAAACAAACCTCAATGTTTTACTCCAACTTATTTTTATTTTTCTTGCCTATAATCCAAAGTTTTACTCTATTCATTTTTTAACCCACTCACTTCAATTCTAGGGTTTTTTTTAATATATAAACACAAAGTTTTACCGCAATTTATTTTATTTGAGCTCACCTAAAAATAAAGATTTATCTTTTTTTTTATACAAATCCACTTCAAGGGTAATTTCTCCATGAACCAAAAGTTTTACCCACATTTATTTTTAAACCCACCCACTTCCAAGTTACATTAAAATGCTTCATAAAAGTTTAATATAAGTATAAGTTACTATATTGTTATAACTTGATATATATTTTTATTCTATGATCCTATATGTGGTGTATCTAAAACAAAATACTCAAACGATTAATTTATTGGCCTTTTGTACTAATATTGATTATCATTGCATTCAGTGTGGAGAATTTTATTTTTTTTAACTTTTTACATAACTCCGAAGTTTTACCCCAATTTATTTTTATACACCTAAATGGTTTTTCTAGTCTATAAACCTTAAAGTAAACCCTATTCATTTCTTAACCCACTCATTTCAATTCTAGGGTTTTTTTTAATCTATAAAATAAGTTATATATATACATATATATAGCATACATTATAGTATACCATATATATACATATTATATATATATATATATACATATATATATTATATGCTATATATATGATGTATATATATGTATATATATGTATGTATATATATGTATATCCTCTATATATGTAATATATTATATGTTATATATATGTATATATATATATATATATATATTATATATATAATATATATATATATATATATATATATATATATATTATATATATATATATATATATATATATATATATAGATATATATAGATACATATATATATATGTATACATATATATATATACATATATATATATGTATATGTATATATATATATATATATATATAAATATATATATATATATATATATATAATATTATATATATATATTATATATATATAATATATATATATATATATATATATATATATATATGTAATATATATATATATATATATATATATATGTATATATATATATATATATATTATACATATATATATATATATATATGTATATATATATATATGTATATGTATATATATATATTATATATATATATATATATATAATATATATATATATATATATATATATATTATATATATATATATATATATATATATATATATAATATATATATATTTCTACTTGCATTGATATATCTTCAATATTTTAAATAAAACGCTTAATTAGACTATTTATTTCTTGGCTTTTTCATACTAACATTTATTATCAACACAATTGTGGATGGATTTTTTTTACTTGTAAACTCAAAGTTTTATCCTATTTATTTCTAAATTCACACACTTTTAATAGAGTTATTATTCTATAACTCAAACTTTTATCCACATTTAGTTTTAAACTCGCGTGCTGCCAAAAACCGTCACAATGAGGGTCAATTTATCTAAAAGTAAATATATAATATTAATAGCTATAGTATTATTTTTTGGTAATAGGTTTTGGATTTTAGTATCGTTTGTGTTTTGGACTTTTGGGTCTTCAATGTTATAGTAGTTATGGGGTTTCAGTATATGGGCCCATATTTAACTTGATTTTTGGAAATTCAAATGAGTTTTTATTTTTGCAATGAGCTCAAATTGTTAGTAAATTGCTTAGCGTTTTAAGATAGCTTGGGCCATGGGTGCAATTTCTAAAGTTTATTGTGGGGTAGATTTAAACGTCACAATGCTTGATATGTAATTGTAAATTTCTAGGATGCAACTGCACCTTACATTGTGTATAAATCCGCCCATGCTTAGACCTAAAATATCTAATTAAATTAATTTTAAAATCAATTCATATTTGAGATGTTTAATATGCAGTGTGTATTACTATATTTTGGTGTAAATTTCTATACTTTTCTAAGTGGTTAGTTGCATGATGTATTTTTAAAGCAAATGTTCAAACTAATGTTGTATCATCACACAAGTGAAATTTTCTCATTATTAACTAAAAATCTCGTATTCACATCTTCATACAGCATCCTCGCCACCCTACAACTTTATGCAAAATGCAACAGAAGCACCACCAACATCATACTATGACTACATCATCGTCGGAGGTGGCACCGTTGGTTGCCCGTTGGCCGCTACTCTCTCTCAAACCTCCAAAGTCCTACTCTTAGAAAGAGGAGGCTCTCCTTACGACAACAACAACATAAAACATCTCTCGGGCTTCACAGACTCCCTATGTGACACCTCCCTAACCTCCGTAGCCCAGCAATTCATTTCCAAAGATGGCGTCAAGAATATCCGTCCTCGTGTGCTCGGTGGAGGCACGTGCCTCAATGCCGGATTCTACAGTCGAGCCAGTAGAGATTACGTTAGAAAAGCTGGGTGGGACATGAGATTGGTGAAGGAGTCATACGAATGGATTGAGGAGTTGCTGGTTCAGGAGCCGGAGTGCCGGAGTTGAAGCAGTGGCAGTCGGCTGTGAGGGATGGGCTAGTGGAGGTGGGGGCGGTGCCAGATAATGGGTTTACATATGAGCATCTGACAGGGACGAAGATTGGAGGGACGATTTTTGACCGAGATGGGCACAGGCATACCGCTGCAGATTTACTAGCACAGGCGGAGCCAAAACAGACTACGATTTTCTTGTGGGCTACGGTTTATAAGATCTTGTTCAAACGAGGTTAGTAATTTATTTTTCTAGTAATTATCAAATAGTTCGATAATTGTTCCACTTACTATTTTTTTAAAATTTAACTCCATAGGAAGTAGTCGAATAATTCCGTCCTGTGATCATATTGATCAAATATAAGCATTGTGATACATGATTCATTTGTTTATTAGTGTCTATTTGTTTATTTAATTAATCATATTTCATATTAGTAAACACATTATGCTTATTTCTTAAGCTTTGAGGGTTTAATAAAGATTATTGTTAGAGAATAAAATAGTAACTCTCAACCTCACCTGGTGCAATAGCAGGATCCTTGGACATAGTGTCTGAGCACTTGATGGAGTTTAGGTTTCTATCCATAAAAGATCTCTCAATTTGCGGGCCTGTTAGACTGTAGAATTAATATTTTTTACTATCGATGAATGTCTAAAACATTTGAATTTAGATTTGAAAATATAAATTGGGAATCAGATTCAAATTTGAATTTGAGAATGTTAGGTAAATGCAAAACAAGCACCTCATTAACTGACCCGATTCCAGCAATAGTCATAACCATGAATAAATTTCTCAGTTATCAAGTTGAAAAATTAGGGAAACTATTTTGTATCTTTGATTCACTAGTATTAAATCATCCAATAACTCTTAATTGTTCACACAGGCCAACAAAGACAAATAGCCTATGGTGTTCTATTCAAGGACTCAACAGGAGAAACTCACGAAGCATACCTAAAGAATAGCCTAAACAATGAGATCATTATATCGGCTGGAGCACTCGGCAGCCCTCAGCTACTAATGCTTAGCGGTATCGGCCCCTCCGATCATCTCCAATCTCTAGGCATTGAGATGGTCATGGATCAACCCTTAGTAGGCAAAAACATGGCCGATAATCCCATGAACGCCATTTATGTTCCTTCTCCTTCACCTGTTGAGCTCTCTCTTGTTCAGCCTGTTGGCATCACTGTCTTTAGTAGCTACATCGAGTCCATCAGTGGCTACAAATATGCCATTTGTCCACCGAGCGGTTTGTCAAGATCAGGTTTCATTTTCGAAAAGGTCGCAGACCCTATTTCTACAGGATATCTTAAGCTCATAAATACAGATCCAGCTCACAATCCAGAGGTTACCTTTAACTACTTTCAAGAACCACGAGACCTTCATACTTGTGTTAAAGGTCTGAAGACTATTGGTCGTGTGATACAATCTGAATCCTTCTCCAAATTTCGGTATCCTAATGCGACATTTGATTCATTGCTCAACGAGACTTTGCAGTATTTGGGTATCAAGAAATCAAATAGACCTGGAAACTATAAAATATCAGTTGAAAATTTTTGCAAGGATACTGTGATGACGATGTGGCATTATCATGGAGGTTGCCAGGTTGGGCAGGTTGTGGATCACGATTACAGGGTTCTTGGTGTTGATGCGCTTAGGGTTCTTGATGCCTCCACGTTCAATTCATCTCCTGGAACAAATCCACAGGCTACTCTTCTAATGCTTGGAAGGTATCTTTCTTGAATGCAATTTTGGACTAAATATTCTTTAGTATTTCGTTTCACTGCAGGGGTAAACCGAATGTTGGTGATTTTTTCAGGTACATGGCGGTTAAAATTCAACAGGAGAGGCTTAATATGGAAGATCATGTTAGCATGTAATCTTGTTGGGGAAGAGAATTATTGTGTGACTTAAGTAGCAACATATTGCAAGCACTAGAATTTCATCCAAAAACTAATGTTATTAGCACTTAAAATGTAGGAGATAAATAATCTTGTTGAAGAATTGAAGTGCTTCAAGAATTTAAATAAAACTTAAAATAAGGGAGTTGTAACTCCAGTTCAATAAATATATGTCACACTTTGACTAAGCTACCATATTCTTGGATTCTTAATTATCATTATTTGGTTGTTTATCTTTGGAATCTCATTTCTCAAATACACTTGGCCATTTTGAGAGCATCAAAGAACTTGGCCATTTTGAGAGTTAATTCTAAAGCTAATGTTGATGGTAGGAGAGTTTGAGGCCCAAACTGTTGTCTGGCAACTAAGGAGGAAGCTGCAGATTAGTCTGTCCTTAGAATCTGAGGAGAAAAACCTGCTTGAGAACTAATCTTTAAGAGGGTTTATTCTTAAAACCCCCAACGCTAATGATTGTTGTCTTATGATTTTTATGATAAAAATTTTGATAAGAATTTTAAAGACAAGATAGGCTTTGGTCAAGCAAGTTAAGGTATTTAGATGAGCTTGTAAATAAGTTTTTCAAAAGTTGAGGAATCCCAAAGTTTTTAAATAAGGTTTTCTAAAATGTCTAGCTTAGGCTCGGTTTGATAGAGGGTTCGAGAAGGGGAGGCAACAGCAGGTGTAATGAGGTAGAGGATGATCATCCTTTTTCAGTGTTTGATTGGAGGGAGAGCGATAGCAAGTTAACCCCTTTTGCAGTTCATTTTTTTTTTCTCTTATGCCCTTTTAATTTAAGAGATTCTTTTTATCTAACTTTTTAGTTTACTTTTCCAATGTCCCTTCCTCTTACTAGACTTCACATCATCTCCCTAAAATATACTCCATTAATATTGCAAGGATACTGTGGAATATCTGGGTGTCAAGAAATCAAATAAAGTAAACTCAGAAACTATAGAAATGTCGGTTGAAAAGGATATTGTAATGATTATATGACTGTTGGAATATAAAACTATAACTTTTAACCCTCACCACAACTTTAGAGTTTTGGTGTAATCGTTAGAAACTTTAAGATGTTGTCAGCACAACTCATTTTAAAATCTCATAGACCACAAGTTTACAATGAATTTTCCAAAAATTAACATCACTACATGAGTCCATGTTTCGGCCCATAAAAATAGCATTCAACCTCAACCATCACCACAACTTTGGAGTTTTAGTAGTTAGGGACTTTGACATTGGTCAGGTAGTGGATGCGCTTAGGGTTGTACATGGCTTGAAGATCAATTTGCTTACCGAGACAAATCTCCAGGCTGCTCTTATGATACCTGAAAGATTATTTTTATTAAATTGAAATCATTTACCTTTCTTTAGGGTCTGTTTGGATAGATAGAAAGAGGGGACAATGGAAGATAAGGGAACCAATTTATTTTGTTTGGGAAGTTTTCAAGAGGGAACGTGTTTCTCCATATTATGCTAGATTCTCATACAATCAATAGACTTTGTTCTCTTCTAAATCCGGGTGAAATTTAGGAAATGGTAGTTTCCTTACCTTCCATTTTCTTCCATCCCATAATTTCACTTAACTTCTCTCACTCTGAATGAAATCCAAACATGAATTTAGTGTTTAGTTTGGTTGTTGAGATTAATTGAATGTTGGTGATTTTGTCATGTACAGTGTTCACTCAAATCCGCAAGTGTACCGATATCATTGTAGAAATACAAGATCGTATCCTCGGGGACTTCATTGTCAATTACTGATTTTCACTATTTTGTGACTATCTAAACTAATCGTACTAAAAAGCATGATTTTTAAGTATCAATAACAAATACGCTAACTAGCGAATCCACTCAATTAAAAGAATCTAGGATTGAACTTTGGTTTCAACTCTGGTTTCAATCAACAAATTAATCAATTGTTATCGAATCTCTCAATGCATTAAGAACGCCTAACCTATGATAACTATTAGTCTCTTTCGATGACTAAAAGTCATGCCTAATTCAACCTAACAACCTATTTTTATGGTGTTGAATTAAATTAAACCCATTAAGTTCATGTTAATCCTTCATGTTTTCAGGAATAATTAACCTACTTTCATGATTAATTAATTCCTATTCAATTACTATTTTTCGGCGTCAATCTAACCTTTCAGTTCAAATCAACATCCTAAAAATATTAAATAAGTAGCTAATTGAATTAACCCAAGGAAATTATATATTAGTAATTAAATAATGCAAATCAAAATATCAATGATAATAACAAAATCAATTCATTGATTCACAACCATGGTCGAACCTAATTAAATCCTAGATAAAACAATTACTCACACATAATTGAAATAGAAGACATGACAATGATGTGTAAAATCATAATAGTAAACTAGAAAATAAGATAAATTAGAAAACAAAACCATAATATCGAAGTCGAGATGTTACACACAATTTTCCACAACGAACACTTTGCCAAATTAAAATAATTCTAATCTAAAAGTTCTTAGAGAGATGGGGAGAAGAAGAAGAAGAGAAAAAAAAAAAAGATCTCTAGCCTCTGGTCATCCAGATGCCTCAGGGCGTTTTCTTTTAAGTTATGAAAAAGATGTGTTAACAGATAACTTCAAATGTTACTTCAGATCGCGTAATAACTGAATACCGATATCTAACACGACTGTAAGATCAACACGACCAGGTCGTGTTTAACTCTATTTCTCTCTGCTCTTTCTGGGCTTTTCTGTATTCAACACTCCTGTGTTATTGGACACTAGGGAACCATGTAGCCTCTTTCCATGCATTCCTTGACTCCTTCTTGACTCCGAATCCGCGCTAAGCTCTAGTAATTCTAACACAATATATAAATAGAACAGTAAAACAAGAACTAGGGAGCTTAACATGACCAAAATGCAAGGAAATACATCAAATAACAATGAATCCGTAGGTGAAACATAGTCAAAATATAGAGAACATTCGTGTTTATCAACTCCCCCATGCTTGAACTATTGCTTGTCCTCAAGCAAAACAAATGGAAACACACACATGAGTTAACATGACCAAAATGCAAGGAAATACATCAAATAACAATGAATCCGTAGGTGAAACATAGTCAAAATATAGAGAATATTCGTGTTTATCAACTCCCCCATGCTTGAACTATTGCTTGTCCTCAAGCAAAACAAATGGAAACACACACACATGAAGGCACAGATTCAAAGAAATGATAACGGAAATAGAAAATAAGTACAAGGGTATCCACTATTCTCAAGTTCACATGCAATATCGTTCCACTCAGACCAATGTCAAAATAGAAATCTTGTCTCAAGTTCAAAGTTGAAGAAAATGCATCTGTAGGAGTTCTTGTACGTTAGTGCAAGCAACTCAACTCGTAAACGTTGGAAAATGGTATGGCAAAGTTATATATATATTTTTAGTTGATTGCCCAAAACTCCTCGTGGCAGACACATATCACATCACAATAGGTCATACTCTTCCTACTTAAGGTCTCAAAGAAGCACTCGTTTTCCTTGCGTTTTATTTATTTTTTTCATTTTTTATGAAGATTCGTCATAATTAACACCTATTGACGTGACAACCATACTTCTGAGGGTGCAGTGCCAGGTACTCAATGCAACAGACTTTAGGACCCTTTTTTTTACAAGGCAGAGTGTGTCTCCAGTAACCAAAAAGTAGTCTAAGTCACCAAAGGAGCCTATATACTAATTAGATGGATTAAGCCAAAAGCCATGCTTATTTATTCCAATGTCTAGAGTCAAATATCGGCAAAGTGGAACTCGAACAGATGACATCCTAATCAACTGAACATGAAACAGAGATTTTTTTTAACAATGGGGCATGTGAAATAAATGATGTACATGTCAAAAGGGTTTACAAATAGTGGTACTCCTTTTCTTTTTCTTCTCTCTCTCTCTCTCTCTCTCTCTCTCTCTCTCTCTCTCTCTCTCTCTCTCTCTCTCTAAATTGGAAAATTAATAAAAAAAACATAGAAAACAAGCACTTAAAAATACGCAGAAAAACATACCAAAGCATACATAAAGACATGAAACATCATCCAACAGACCCGCTCCCCCATGCTTGAATTGCACATTATCCGCAATGTGTAAATAACTGAAAAGAGGAAGAAAAAAGGGACTCACTTCCTATTATGGTGATGGTGGAGATGGATAACCATGAAGTAAGGACCATTGGTGCATATGTTGCATCAAATCATTCATTGTTCCAAGTGTATTTCCAAAATTGTCCAAGCAGGGTGGCCATGATGAGAACAGATCTAGAAGTTTTAGATATTGAATGGAAGAATGTAGGCTGTGAAGGTTGGTGTTGCTCTAGGTGGAACGGTAAGGGTGGTGGTTGTTTGGATTGTGAAGGATGGTGGTGGTGAGGCGTGGGACATGAGGATAAGGGAGGTGGTGGTGGTTGTTGTGGGGAGTAGAAGGGAGATGGTGACAATAGTTTGGCGTTAGGTCGAAAGAAGATGAAAGGAGGGGGGGGAGGGGGGTGAGTCTGAATGAAAAGAAAGGGGGGGTGCCTTGGGTGTTTTCAAAATTGGTCCCCGTGGGTGTGGTAGACGCCAGCAACTGGTAGACCAATTGTGTGGTGGGGTCTAGAATTGTTGAGCTTTCTGGTGTCCAGCATATTAGGGGTGTGGTGGACACCACCCCAGGATGTGGTGGACACCACCCCAGGATGTGGTGGACTCTGGAAATAAAGTAAAGACTATCACTCGACAGCTACACGGCTGTGTTGGTGGACACAACCTAGCCGTGTAAATTGTTTATTCAACATTTTTTCTTAGTCATCTTCTTCTTTTTTTTTTATCCTTGAACTCTTTTCTACCAATCTCATTTTCCATTTGCGCATCAATTCACGTCAACCTAATTAGAAAACTAATTAAAATCAAACACTAGAATGAAAAATAAAGTGAAAGAAAAGCTTGGGTTGCCTCCCAAGAAGCACTCGTTTTTTATCATGAG